AGTGCAAAGTAAAATTTTAAAGTAGGACAGCTTGTTTAGATGTTAATGTAGTAAGAACCCTCCCCCAGAAAAGAAATGTTTAATCATCCTCAGAGGAATAAATTATCCTGCGATTTGTCGAGCCAGATTCACAGAACCGCTCTGCCACTTCCTGTTTGAAAGACTGGAAATCATTCCGAATAGCATTGGTTGTATCAGCCAGTGTGTCCACCTTTTTTGCCAATGCAGAGATGGAGTCTGAAATGGAAGCGAATTGGTGTTGAAGGTAGCGTTCCAGGAGATCTATGCGATCTGTGATTGGGGGTACCACCATCATTGGGTCGATGGAAGGAACTGGAGTTGGTTTTGGTCTGGGTTTTTGCTCTGAAGAAGAGGGATCTGTTGGTTTAGGAAGAAGGTGAGAATTGGATATGATTAAGCCTAGATTGCTGAGACATCTCTTATCCAGGATTTTGTAAGCTTCTTCAGAGGAGAATTTGTCCAGAGTAATGCCTTTAGCGAGAAATATTTTGGTAAGTAGCGGGGCATATGGAATCCCAATCCTTCGGGATGAGGAACTGATGATAGAACTGAGATGGGCCATCATCAATCCAGGAAGGTTGATAGGAACTTTGTTGGCTAAAAGGTACATATATGCTAGTTCCATTCTAGAGGGTGTGAATCGCCCTTCTAGCCTAGGAGTCAAGTTGTGATGAACAAAGTAAAACAGTAGTTTGGGAATTGGGGCAAGGCTCGCAACATGAAGAGAGGACTCGGAAATGGTTGGGTTAAAGTATTCCAGTGCAACTGTTTGAGAGGTGTTGGTTAGGGGCCACTCTGTTTTGTTATATTGGCATACACCAGTACATGGAACACCCAATATTTGACCTAGATCATTCACACTTAATAGAATTTTTGTGCCTTGTACCTTAGAAGATAAGAAACTGTCTTTGATAATAAGATTAGCCAAAAACTCAGAGATGAGGTCAGGAAACACAGAGGGGCAATTCTTGGAATCAAACAAGGTCTCCCATTTTTGAAACGAAATAAGCTCAGTAAAATCAGAAGTTTTTTGAGTAATATCACCATAGGAGATGGAAAGTACCTTAACTATTCCCCGGGAGAGATATTCCTCCTTGAGTCGTGCGGCGTCTTCCTCGGCTACCCTCCCCATCCTTGGATATTTTTGGTTGGAGTCCTTGTCGGAGATGATTCCCTCAGCGATTGCCCTTTTTCGGGTGTATTTTTGGGGCAGTATCTTTCCGTCGCGAGTGGTTGGTTTTCGTTTGAGAGGTTTGATTTGTGATGGAGAGTTTTTATCTGGTTCCCCCCTGAGAGGACGCCGGGAATCGTGGTAGGGAGTCACCAGATTCGGAGTGCATGGTCGAAGGAGGAGAGGCGTCGAGTTCAATCGGGGTAGGTGATGAAGGTGGGGGTGGATTTACGCCCTTTTTCCGGTTAGAACGACGAGGAGCAGTCGGAGGGGCGTAGCCTCTGGTTTTGACCATGGTGGTTTTAAGAAGGAGAAGAGGGAGGCGGTTATGGAAGGTGTGTAATAAGGAAGTGGGCGGCGTGTTGGTATACGGGATACTTTCCCACTTCCCAAAATTTTTTTTAATGATTTCCTTCCAAATAGGAAGTGGCCGGTTGTGTGGTAGTTACGTCCCCCCCAAAAAAAACTGACAGTTTAAAAGCTGAAGGATTTCAGTTTTAAATAAAGATTTCCTTAAAAAGAAATTTTATGAAATAGTTTTAAGCATTGATGAGACCAAGTTCAAATCGAATTAATTCAAACCTTTCTCTTCCCAAGGGTTTTGTAAAGATGTCGGCAATTTGCTTGTCAGTGTTGCAATATTCTACCTTGATTAGCCCCTTTTCCACGCAATCTCTCAGAAAGTGATGCCGGATGTGGATGTGTTTTGTTCGTGAGTGCATGACTGGATCCTTTGAGATGCTAATTGCGCTAGTATTGTCACATAGAATTGGTGTGCAATTTAGGATGATCCCGTAGTCGCTTACTTGTTGCATGATCCACAAGGATTGTGAGCAACACGATGCGGCTGCTACGTATTCGGCTTCAGCTGTTGAAAGAGCAACTGAGTTCTGTTTTTTAGAGCTCCATGAAACCAGGCAGGGACCTAGGAAGTGAGCCGTTCCAGATGTGCTTTTCCTATTTAATAAATCACCTGCAAAATCAGAATCTGAATATGCAATAAGATTAAAATCCTCATTTCGTGGATACCATAAACACAGATTCATAGTTCCTTTGAGATATTTGAGTATCCTCTTGACTGCTTTGAGGTGAGATTCCTTGGGATTTGCCTGGAACCGGGCACATAGACCTACGCTGAAAACTATGTCGGGTCTACTGGCAGTTAGGTATAGTAGAGATCCAATCATTCCTCGGTATTTCTTTTGGTCTATGCTGGTTCCTGCTTCGTCTGCATCCAGTCTGTCATTTGTTCCCATTGGTGTTGTCATTGTTTTGCCTTCACTTGCTCCATACTTCTTGAGAAGCTCCTTGAGATACTTTTGTTGAGATATTTGAGTTCCTTTACTTGATTGTTTGATTTGGAGACCAAGGAAATAATTTAATTCACCCATCATACTCATCTCGAACTCGGAGCTCATAAGAGGAAAATTCATCACAAAGTGAGTCGTTAGTAGCACCAAATATAATATCATCTACATAAATTTGAACAACCAAGAGGGATTGATCTTTTATTTTTAGAAAAAGTGTTTTATCGATTTTTCCTCTTTCAAAACCATTTTCCAAAAGAAATTTAGATAGACGTTCATACCAAGCACATGGTGCTTGCTTGAGCCCATATAGTGTTTTATCTAGTTTGAAAACGTGATTAGGTAAATCTGGATTTTCAAATCCCGGTGGTTGTTCAACGTATACCTCTTCCTTAAGATAACCATTCAAAAATGCTGTCTTGACATCCATTTGGTGGAGGGTGAAACCCATATGAGCCGAAAACGCTATGAGCATCCGGATTGCTTCTAGCCTTGCCACCGGTGCGAATGTTTCATTGAAATCTATTCCTTCTTGTTGATTATAGCCCTTGACGACTAGTCTTGCCTTATTTCTGGTGATCTGTCCATGCTCATCAAGCTTATTTTTAAATACCCATTTGAGACCAATCACGGTTTTATTCTCGGGTCTTGGTTCTAGATGCCATACCTTGTTTCTTTCAAATTGATTTAGTTCTTCCTGCATAGCTAGAACCCAGTCAATATCGGAGAGAGCCACTTCATGGTTCTCCGGTTCTATAAGTGATAAGTAAGCAAAGAAAGTACAGAAGTTTCTTAATTTGGATCTTGTTGTTACTCCCTGATTTAGATCTGTTAAGAGGTTATCCAGGGGATGTGATCGATGATGTCTCCATCCTCTTGGAGCGTTGGGTTGATCCACAAACTCGTATAAGGTATCTGGACCTGGACCAGCTGGTTCTTCACTTGGATTAGTCGTGGTCAGTCCGGGTCCTTCTTCAGTTCTAGGTTCGTTTTGTTCATTGTCCAGTGATTCCTCAGTTTGGTTATGGCTTGTCTCAATGTTTTTATAAGAATGATTTCCCTTGCGAAGAATTCCTATGTCTCCTTCATCATCTTGCCTCGGTTTTAATGAAAGGGCTTCATCAAAGATTATATGGATACTTTCTTCCATACATTGTGTGCGTTTGTTTAGAACTTTGTAAGCTTTGCTATGAGTTGAGTATCCGAGGAAGACTGCTTCATCACTTCTTGCATCAAACTTGCCAATGTTGTCTTTCCCATTGTTATGAACAAAGCATTTGCATCCAAAAGTTCTTAGATGACTAATGTTGGGCTTTCTCCCTTTGAGTAGTTCGTAGGGTGTCTTCCCTAGGAGTGGGCGGATCATAGCACGGTTGATTATATAGCATGCCGTGTTTAGTGCTTCTGCCCAAAAGTTTCTTGCTAGACCACTGGAAATCAGCATTGTTCTAGTCATGTCCTCCAGAGTTCTATTCTTCCGTTCTACTACCCCATTTTGTTGAGGAGTTCTAGGGGCAGAGAAGTTGTGGTCTATGCCTCGTTCCTTGCAGAATGTATCAAATAGTGAGTTGTCAAACTCAGTTCCATGATCCGATCTGATCTTGATTAATTGTAGCCCTGTTTGATGTTCAACTTTCCTCACAAAAACAACAAACTCATTAAAAGTATCTTTCTTGCTTGCAAGAAAGATAGTCCAAGTATATCTTGAAAAGTCATCAACAATAACTAAAACATATTCTTTATTTCCTCGGCTACGGACTGACATTGGACCACACAAATCCATGTGAATTAGTTCTATGGGCTTGCTTGTGCTCACCAAATTCTTTGTTTTAAAAGATGATCGTGATTGTTTTCCGGTGGCACAAGCAGAGCAAACATGATCAAGTGAATATTTTATATTAGGTAGCCCAATTACCAAATCATTATTTTTGAGTTTATTTATTAAAGAAAAACTAGCGTGTCCAAGTCTTTTATGCCATAGCAGGGGATCATTGTCAATAACGCTCAGGCAAGTTAAACTTATATTTGGCAATAAATCAAGATCAACCTTATAAGTATTTTCTAGTCTCTTGCCCTCTAGTATAACTTGTTGTGATTCGTTATTAACAATGCGACATACATTATGATCAAAAACTACACTGTTACCTCGGTCACAAAATTGAGAAATACTTAGCAAATTGAACTTTAAGCCCTTGACTAGAAAGACATTGTCAATTGCATGGTTAGGTGACTTTCCAACTTTTCCCACGGCAATTATTTCTCCTTTACCGTTGTCTCCAAATGTCACCCTTCCACCGCTAAATGGCCGAAGTGAGAGGAATAATGATTTATCTCCCGTCATGTGCTTAGAACACCCACTGTCAAGGAACCAGTGGTTGTTCCCCCTCACTCGGCGCTGTTCCAGGATTAAGGTTTAGTGCGTGGAACCCAGACCTGCTTGGGTTCCATTTTGTAATTGTTTGAGGAATAATTACTATAATTAAAGTTCCTTTCTAAGGCCTGTTGCCGAGAGTGACATTGATACCTAAGATGACCGACTTTGCCACAATGCCCGCAAATTCGACTATCATATGTATCAACGTATTTGGTTTTCCAATTTCCATAAAAATCTTTGTCCCTTTTATGAAACTCTCGGTTAGGTGTTTGTCCATAACCAGTTTTGTGCCTTTGAACCAATTTAACGAACCAGGTTGGTCCAGTTCTAGATTGCCTTTGGTATGGCCAGGAACTGGTTTGTCCTCTAGTTCTGTTACCGTTAAAGGATTGGTTCTGAAAACCAGATTTTTGATTTATTTGAGTTTTCCTTGGAACATATCCGAGACCCGCAGTCTCGTTTTCCTTTCTTTTGTACCGAGAAGGTTCAGTTCTAGAATAGGGTCTAGACCTGGTTCTTTCTTTAGTACTATACGGCTGGTATTCCGGCTTATTTTTGAAATCCTGTCTCTCAGCCTCAAGGCGATTAAGGTGTTCAATCAGCACACCAATGTTCGGAATTTTCGAAAGAAGTTTCTCACTTTGATCAACTTGTTGGTTCATGCTATCGAGCTTTAAAGAACAGATAATATTGTCTTGTTCTAAAACCACTTCACTGTATTTTAGCTTCTCATCTATTAACTCTCCCACTCTAGTTTCAAGCCTTAGCTTTGCTCGTGTGGTTTCCTCGAGTTTAGATTCTAGCTCAGTGATTTGTGATTTTAGATTTTCATTTTCAGAAAGGTTTTGGTTAAGCTCGATAGTTAGCCTCTTAAAAATTTTCCGAACTTTGGTTTTAGGCAAAGAATCAAACTTAGATAGAAAGTTTTCCAAATTTACCTCGAAACTCTCTTGGTCGGATTCCTCGTCGGAATTAGCCATAAGACACAACCCTACATGATTGGAACTCTTTTCACCTTCTTCCTCATCATCATCGGATGAGTCTCCCCAGGCTGCCATCATTGCCTTCTTGAGGTCTCTGTTGAACCCTTTATCTTCACTGGACTTCCGATGGGAACTGGCCTTGTTCTTGTCGTAGGTTCTATCATTTTTCTTTTGGGGACAATCTTTTGCCCTGTGCTCAAAGGAACCGCAAACGAAACAACCTTGGTTATTAAACGATTGAAAACCCTTTTTACCTTGCTTATTTCGGTTGCCTTTGAATTTCCGGTACATCTTACCGAATTGCTTGGCGAACATGCTCATTTCGTCTTCCGATTCACTTTCGGATTCTTCTTCTTCTTCTCGAGCCTTGAGAGCTATTCCTCGCTCCTTTCTCACATTTTCGGCATCTTGTTCTTCTTGTAGGCCTAGCTCATAGGTCATGAGTGAGCCAGTCAAGTCTTCTAGCGTCATGGTAGAGAGATCTTTAGCTTCTTCTATTGCTGTAGTTTTAGGCTTCCATGCGGATGGTAGGCTTCTCATAACTTTTCTCACTTGATCTTCTACAGTAATATCTTTTCCAAGTGCTGAGAGCTCATTGATAATATTAGTAAAACGTGTAATCATATCCTTAATTGATTCTTTAGGCTTCATCACGAATAATTCGTAATTACGCATAAATATGTCAATTTTGGATCTTTTTACACACGAGGTACCCTCATGCGTAATCTCAAGTAGATCCCACATTTGTTTTGCGGATTTGCATCCAAGAACACGGTTGTGCTCAGCCGGACCAAGTCCACAAATCAAATATTTAAATGCTTGAGCATTATGCTCGAGTTTACAATAATCATCAGAGGTATATTCAGATTTGGGTTTAGGGATAACCATACCTTCGGCATCTTCTTTTGTAATGATGTTATCGCCTACTTCAATTACGTTCCATACCTGGTAGTTCTCAGCCTTGATGAAGTTCTCCATTCGACTCTTCCAGAATTGGTAAAATTTGCCGTTGAACAACGGTGGTCGTTGAGTCGAGTATCCTTCCTCTAATCTTTCAACCGTATTCATGCTGTCGGATCTCTTCCCAAGGTATTAACCTTTATGTGGCGAAGACCGGCTCTGATACCAATTGATGAAACGGTTAGCAACACAAGAGGGGGGGGGGGGGGGGGGGTGAATTGTGTGTGTGTGGAACCGTGGCAGTTTTTCGCACAGTTCTAGTGTGGGGTCCAGGGATTTACGAAATGGTAAAGTGCACAAGGATTTAACGAGGAAAAATCCCTTGGCTCAAAGGGATTAAAAAACCTCGACCTCCCTCGGAGGAATTTGAACAACTCCACTAAAAAGCCTTTGAATGATTACAAGGGAAACTATCCTAGTCTACCCTTGAGCCACCCCAACTCTATCCTCTCTAGGAAGAGTTATGCATCTCTACCTTGCGGGTAGAGAGCCTCTCAGCTTTACAACAAAGCTCTCACAACACACTAACCAACCCGAGGATGCTACACTTAGCCAATCCTTAACAACCCAATTACAATATGAAGAAGGGAAAAAGAAACTCTGTCTGGAACTCCGTGAGCAGGTTCAGGTGCCTTGGACTTAGTGAATATTCTCGTGTATATTTCTCAATATAAGCTCGGTCAAGCACACATTTCGTCTGGTCCTTTGTCCAATATATATAGCATCCGTAGCCTCGTCTTTCCTTTTATTCAAAGATCTTCCGGCTCACAATTATGGTGATCCTCGGTCAACCATATAAATATGGAAGTATATTATGAGTAAATCATTCAATAATAAAACAGATATGGAGAATATTACGTATCACATATAAGGAGAATATTTTGTTCTCCTAATATAAGCATCCAACGGACATTATGTAGCAATCAACATATTTATATAATTAATGATTAGTTCTCAAGAATATGTAACGATCATATAAGTAAGGTATTCAAATAAGGTGCTACAGAACATGCAACCCAAGATACTTTCCATAATATAATGACTTAGTAGCATTAAGTGATAAGGAAATGTTTACTTAGTGGATCTAAATATGCTACGGTCGATTTGTGCGGGATTCTTAACATAGTGGATTTTTATGTAGCATTAATAATGATTCTTTCCATAAGCTATATAGGCCAACTCATAGAGGTGAGTGCTTAGTCATATACGGAAAGATATTTAACTTGTGCCACGTATATTAAGAATATGCATGATCAATCTAGGCATGTAGATGAGGTATTATCATGCAGGCTCATATTAATTTATTCATTATGCACAACAATCATTCATATAGATCAGAACTAAGTATAGTTCCAATTCTCGTTCCTAATGGACCTGAGAGTAGTTCTGTCCGCCATTCCACCTACATGGTTAGTCATCAACAAAACAACATATACAACAAAATGCTTCAATCCATTACTGTTTAGTCATGCATATTACACATTGATGTAAAAAACATAGCAGTCTGAAAATCACGTATTTTAGTGTTATGATAAAAAGTGCAAGTAAATTTGTTAGATCTCTAAATTATACAAATATATTAAACAATTTTATTTTGTTCAAGAATTAAATTAGTTCTTTAAAAATGTTATGTGCATGATTAATTACAAAGAATAAGAATTTCATGCACTTTTAAAATTACAGGGGTTAATGCTCAACATTTATATCACGGGAAGATTTGGCGTACTAAAATCTAAGATGAAATAATTTAATTATCAATCAATCTTCATAAATCTTAAAATATAGTTTATAAATATTTACCCACAATTGGAATAGAACATCTATCAGTTTTACTTAAATGATTAGTTATCGTTTCTGAAATAAGGCTTATTTATTCCTAATAAAATAGAAAAATAGTAAAAATTTACCCTTGTAAGATAGAATGAATCATATCCAACAACGAAGGAATATATACCGATCAAATTTGAGACCATTTGTAACATTTTGATTGATCTCATTTCAAGAGTTTTTATCTTCTAAAAACACTCTAGATATACTTATAGACTTGTACAATCCACTTCTTTCAAGTTGTAAGAAAAAGTAAGCTTATACGGAGTAGCTGACAATCTTTAACCCAAAAAAGGAAAGCGACTTTGATTGTAAAGAACAAACCTTTTATAATATCATTGGCAAATGGCTATCAAGGAGCATCAAGAATTAAAGAAACGTCCACAAATGAAATGGAAATTTGCAAAGCATTCAAATCTTTATAAAACAACGAAAAATGCTCAATAATCTAAGAATGATAGACATAGTTGATATCATAACTATTTGGTGAAAAGGAAGGGATTTTACTCTATGTGATGAAGTGCTCTTGGAGATAAAGATGAAGCCTGCTAATACCAATTGTGAGTGTTGTGTTTAATGTATTTGGTAACAAAGCTTGAGATGGTGAGTAGTATTTATGGGAGAAGGTAAATGAAAATGATAAAATCACCGGTAGAGAGAGTGTTAATGTTAGAGTTTTTTATTATAAATTTGGGAATTAATTAAGTTCAACTACCATTTATGTAATGTAATACTACATCCGTCCTGAAAAGAAGTTCTCACTTTTCAAAGAGAAGTCATCACTTCTATGAAAAGAAATTGTTGTTAAGCAAAATGACACAACTATCCTTACTTTTTACATACTTTTTGCTTGATTTGATATAAAACAAGGATTCATTTGAAAAGACAAAACAAACTATAATTAACCTAAATATGTATGTAAGTCAAACTGGGAACTTCATTTCAGGACAAAGGAGTATATATTTGTACGTTTAAGATATTTTTGACTGGATCGGTTTCAGTTTCCGACTAGATCATATCAGTGCAACTTAAAAAGAGTAGATAAGACCATATTAGATTGAATAGATTACAATCATTGGATTTGACAAGGCTAGGTTTAGGCTATAGTAAAGCACACATACAACAAACATGAACCAGAACCGACCACACTTCAACAAATTGGACCACAACAAACTTAAACAAGTTTGAACAGATAAGCCAAATCAAAAATTCCAATTTAATTAAAAACATTTTTGAATTCCAAAATATCACTCCTATGTTGTTCTTCCCAAAATAGAAGTCCTTACCGACATGATTGAAAATATTGTAATTAATGACAATAAATAATGTCATGATAATTTCTAATAGTGCAACTATTTTGGTAGTATTGACTCCAAAATGAAAGTAAATACTACTATGTTAGTACGTTACTCTTATTTCAGCAAGAAAAACATGACAATCATATTTTGGAATTCTAAAACCTGTTTACTCCTATTTCAAGATCTTTCTATTAATTAATGTGGAAACCTCATACCAGGCCAAAAGATGTTTTCTCTTATTTATTGCATTAATTAATGTGGAAACTTCATACCAACCCAAGTCAATTACTCCATACCTACCCCACTAAAGAGATTTCTCCTTTCTAAATATGTATAAATGCACCATGTTTGATTGAATTTGTTTCGGTTAACAATATGGTCCGGATTTAATAACCTCACATCAACTAGCCTATATCAAATTTAAACATATCATATCAAAACAGACTTATACAATAGTAATATACATATAGTAGGCCATTATCAAATTAGACTAGATCATACTAGATAAGATTTAATCAGATCACAATCGACTAAAACTCAAAAGTTCCAATCCAAGTGACAACATCATAAATAATTATTTCATTTACTAATAATAATCAATCATATCAACACTTGAAATGTATTTAGGTATTACAAATTCTCTAAATTCTTTAACAATGGCAATGTAAAAGAACTATTTTCCTATACGTGTCTTCACAATGGGGGTGTTTGGGTATTAGATTTTTACCTCAAAATGCTGATTTTTTTCAAGTGCAAAGACAGCAAAATGCACTGTCTTTGCACCAACCTGCTGAAAAAACAACAAGGCAATGAAATAGACATTCATTTTCTAAACAATAAGCCGTGGTGGATCAAAAACTCAATATCGGCGGATCAGATAATACGTTAATATATTATAAGTTTTATAAAGTATTTACATAAAAACATAAACACATAATAGTACTTGGAAATGATGGAAACAAAACTAATTTACAATATTTTTACCCTAAAAATGATACATATTTTTACCAAACTAAGGGTTAACCAGTGTTTGACTTCGACCACTACTATGCCCTTATTTGTATTCACAATATACAAAAATAACAAGTCAAATGCGAGAAAGTTTAACTACGAGAAAGTTGGGGATCCCTTTCCTCATTTCTGAGGAATTCCCTTGGTTGAGAGCCCAACTAGCTACCACATAAACATATCACATTCCAAAACTTCGCCCTCCATACCCCCAACATTAGAACTTAGGGCTTGCTTACATGTCACCATAGTAGATAACTACCGGCCAAGAGGATGTCCTAAGGGTAACCTTCCTAAGTTATTGTAAACAAGGTTTTCACCTATCCAGAGACCCACATTACAACCAGGACATAGATTTTATGAATGTTGTATAATCCCACATATAAAACAATCACATGAAATCAGTCATACTTGATATATTCCCAAAACTAACCTCCTCCTCTACGCAAATTCAATCACCTCCAAAAGAAAGATTTATATCTATTTGTGCATGAATACTCAAAGATCACATCGATTCCCATTTATGAACTTACTATGATCACTAAGAAAGTCACCTATGAAGTTGGTGATTGTCTTGACCTACTTAATGTTTGTAAAATCTGACAGTAACTTATGGATATCAGTCATGAACTCATCCTAATAGAAAATAACTTCTATTGCTTGAACATTCTCCAGTACACACCTCGGAACAAGATTTTGCTTGAATGGCCACAAACTCTCCTATAACACTTTGAGCAAATCACTTTCACAATACAACAATGCAAACTATCTTCACGCTTCCAAATAGTCCATCTTGAGACCCGCAACCTTCCCTGATCACCATAGTATCCACGTCATTTCACGAAAAGTAGTTAGGTGCTACCATATCAATCACAACGCACCCGTCATACTCATTGTAGCCACTCTCCGATCTTTCAAGAACCCCATCTCTAAAAAAACTAGTCTTTATTATCATTTCATTATTAATAAACATCTGTTTTCAACAAACATTCCATCGTTACATATCTACATAAATATACTCTCTTTATTACAAAATATGTAAGCAAATCTTCATATCGACTTTTAAGGTCTTCATGG